GGTATTTTTAAACATTCTAGGCTTATTCCTTCAGTAGAAGTTTTCCCATCATTATTTAATAATGTAGACATGGTTATTCCCAGTTTTCTTGTAGAAAATGTATTATTATAACCTAATGTTATAATGTTGATGCTTTGTCATGGTTAATATTCTTTTTTCCATGTCATCAGGTGCACAGATGTGAAAAAAACTGGGGACTACAGCCACTTGAACCATAACGCTGGCATATCTGGTCAGTCATCTCCCCGGCCGGTGGTGATCCCACGCACCAACGCCACCGTTCATCACAACAGTGTTGGCTTCATAGGTCCCCAGCTGCCACCACACATGAACAAGGTACTTCCTCACCTGAGGGTACTGATAATAATGTTTTTTTTGTTAAACCCAGTGTTTCTCTTCTAAAAACCTGTTGTTGTGACTTCTTGTTCCTTCAGAGTTCTCTTCATGTTAATGGGAATGGATCTCTGAGGGACTATCCCACAAGCTCCAAGCCCAGCACCAGCGGCAGTGCGGTGGGGAAACCAAACCATGGACTAGCTTCTTCTGCTTCCTCTTCTTCCATCTCCCACTCAGTCAGCCGGCCCACAATGATTCCAGACAGCGACAAACGACAGAAGCTTTCATTTTCAATTGGGCTAAGCAAACCGAACCGCCCATCTGCTTCTTCCTCCTCTTACTGCCAGCCGTCCTCCGCCAGCAGCTCCTCCTCCTCCTCCTCCTCCAGCTCTTTGTCCTCCTCACAGTCTACCTCAGACGTCCAACCAGACGTTCGTTTTATTCCGCGTCCACTAAACCAAGTCAGCAGCATGCCTTTCAGTAATGGGGATCACAACCCTGTAGGAAACGGGGCGTCCTTCCTGGTGCCGTACAGCCAAGAGTCTTCAGAGGAATCAGACCAAGAGAACTGTGGCACTCTGGATAACGGCAGTTCATCCAAATCTCATCCTAATGAAAATAAAGACACAGGAAATGTCTTTGATAATAATTCTCCCAAAACCACCAATGGGGAGTCAGGAGTGCACCATCATGGCAATGGATTAAATGGACAAACGTATGGAGACTTCAAATCCAGTCAAAATGGGCACCACAATGGTCATCACAAAGTGAATGGACACGGCGGCCCTGACAAGGTAAATATTGTCTTTATTTTTATAATGCTTGTCTGTTTGTTTTTCTTAAAGGGACATATTATTAATAATTCTTTTATTTATTTTGGGCACATCAGATCTCTGGCAGTAATCATGGCAGTTTGACGTCTACGGCTCCTATTGCTAATGGAATAGGCAGTGACCATAGCCAACCAAAGTAAGCCTAACACTGAACTAAAAAAAAACTTATTGCTCTGCTGTCCATTTTATGCATTTAAAAATTTTAAGTTTAGAGGAGTAATCTTAAAACTGTGCAGACTTTCCTCTCTGCCAGAGTGACATAAAGCATTGCTCATATTGCTTCTGTGTTTTATTTTTCCAGCAAAGATGCCTCATCCCAGGCCAGTTCTTCTCAGAGCATTCATCCTGCTGCTAATGAAAGCCAGGATTTCTCCACTCCTGTCACAAGGGCTAAAACTCCATCTGAACCCCTGCCTCACTGTACAGAATCCTCCGCCGCTAGCGCTTCACCCTCAGCTACTGCTACAAATACCCCTTCTGTTGCAGCTAAAGAATCTGCTTCCGCTCTTTCTTCTTCTGGGCAAGATGGCAACCCTGCAGCCTTACCCCCTCAGCCGGGCTGCTCTCAAAGCACCAGTGGGGCTTCTGCAGCTCCACAGAAAGTTAGCGTAAGCAAGGATGAAGCCAAGAATCTACCACAAGACAAATGTGCAACAACAGGGACTGAAGGACGTAAGGATACTAAGGAGCAGTATCAGTCCAAGCCTAGTTCTAGTTGCAATGAAAGACGATCTTCCCGAGACAGGGAAAGACTGTACTCTAGCTCTGGCAGAGATAGAGAAAGACACTACAGGGATAGGAGTCACGAACGAGAAGGCGACGGCGATCGTCACCGGTACAGACGGGACTACAAAGACGGTCACCACCGCCAGTACAGGGATCGTTTCCCCCTTTCTGGACGTTACTACAGGGAATGGGAGGCCGAGCGTCACCGGGAGCGACCCTTCCAGCACCCTCGGGAGCGTGATCGCGACAGGTGCTCTAACCATTACCATTACTACCGCTACCGGTCAAGAGAGGACATTGACCATGAGCGAAGGGGATATGGTTACTCCCACCGAGAGGAGTCTCGTGGCAGTCGGAGGTGGCTGCAGGATAGTAGAGACTCCTGGGCAATGAAGGATAAGAGTAATGGCAAAGAGAGAGAAAATTACTCCTCAAAGGAAGGAAATTTCTCACCTTCTACAGCACCAGAAACAAACAAGTTCAAGGGCTCCCCGCCACGGGCTCGCCTTTCCTCTCCAGACAAAGAGGATCAAAATCGCAAGAGGAGGACTCTCAGCAAAGACAGGGACGACAGCTCTGAGGCCCGCCACACTAAAAAACACAAAAAGAGTAAGAAAAAGAAGAAATCAAAGGATAAAGACAGACACCGTGAGAGTGGGTGAGTATTGCCATCTTTCTCTCGATCCTTTAATGAAAACCGAAGGAAATGTGTTTGTTTGTTTAAGCTAGATTTTTTTTTTTTGAAAATAATATGGGGTTAAAGCTCACTATCAGTCTTATTATTTTCTTAAAAACGGAAAGAATTTTCATCATTTTATTGATAATGGGTCACTTTTTCTGTCTTAGGCTTGCTGTAAAGCTTGAGATCTCTGTTTTGTTAAACAATATCATTGGTTCTCTATCATCCCGTAGAAGTTCTGACGGAGATTCAGACAGAGCTGCGGAAATGAAGAAGAAAAAGAAAAAGAAGAGACATCGGGACAGCGATCCCGAACTGCACAGCCCAGACGCAGCTCGGAGCCACAGAAACAGAAGCAGCGAGGAAAGGGAGAGCCGCAAGCGACACCACTCTGACAGAGACTTTAAACATGACAATGGCTTTCCACCGGAAAAACGTCGCTGCACAGACTATGCTGACGGCAGCGGTGGCCATCTACTCCCTTCCAATCATACCACACCGGCAAACGGTTCAAGTTACGGCCATCTCAATGGACAACCAGGTATTCATTTAGTCTCCAAAATCACAGGAATGCTGAATTAAATGGTGCTGACGAGCTAGTCCAATTTTAAAGCATCAACCCTGTTTTGTAGGTTACAGCCAAATCAGCGGCAGTGGATTTCCCAGTGACCTGAAACACTGACTCTGTGAGTGGATGTCTTTTTAAATGGTCAGCGTTGATGTAGCTATTAATACTTTCTCTTCACTAAGACCTCATCTTTGTCATTTCAGATCCATCAACCGAATTTTAACAACAGCAGAGGAATGACATCAACTTTTTTGACGTGGTGCTTCTTCATTAGGAATAATATTGTATTTTTACCACAAGTAAAGTGTTTTAAAATTGAAACTATCCCCCTTTCTTTTTTTTTTTCTTTTTTTTTTTCACAAATGGGTTTATTTATTTGCCGTAATTTCTCCTAGCTATCGGTTAAAAAGAAACCTGTTGAACATTTATGATGAAGAATATTAATATATACTTGTATGAACACAAAGCCTGGAGCTTAAACATCTCAACTGCTGCTCAGTGGAACTCAGGACTTGAAAAAAACGTGTTAACATCGATCACAGATATCCACCTGCTTCGAAGAGGAACGAAACAAAGGGAATGACGTGATGCCCGGGAGGACTGAAAGGCATCGGAAGTTTAAGATGTCATCATATCTACACAGCTGCAATGTTTTACTTTATTTCTTTCTTTGATCCCACTGGGAGCCGTGAAACTAATGGAGTTATTTGTGCAAGGGGAGGGAGGGAGGGGGGGGGGATTCAGAGAAGTTTGGTTCTCGTCATGTTGTCCGTATTCACCGCTATCCCCCATACTCCGCGACCCGCCAGGGAACGGG